TTTGACATAATTTTTGACGAATGTCCTAAGTCCTGGCCACCAATAGTGTTGTCTGACTGCGTTGAATGTTTCCAATTCTCCTGGGTGTCCTGCCGTGGGAGAGTCGTGATAGCGTTTTAGAATGTCGCGCCTGAGTGATAGATCGTTCGGAATATAGTTTTTTCCTTTGTAGAAGAGTAATTTCTTGTCGTCCTTGTATTCCATTGTCCAGTCTTGCAGTTCTCTTCGAGCTTCTGCTGGTCCGAGTTCAAGCAGCAATTTGACAGCTTTGCTGGCTTCGTCGTCGAGGTTATCGGTTTGCATGATTTTATCTTGCAGTTCGACGTCGATAAGTCGAATAAACATGTCATTTGGCAGAAGGGTGACGTCTTCATTGTCGTTGTCATCGTCCGGTACATGGTCTGGTCTTCTAGATAATGCATCGGCTTGTACCATCTTGGTGCCGGCCTGATGAACGAGTTTGATGTCGTATTCTGATAGTAATAACGACCATCGTGCTTGTCTTCGGTTCAATCGCTGTGCCGAGCGGAAGTAGGTGAGATTCTTATGGTCGGAGAGTACGGTTGTCGTATGCGGTGATCCTTGGATATAATGTCTCCAGTCTTGCAGGGCTCTGATAATCGCAAGTAATTCTCGGTCGTAAATTTCATAGTTTCGTTCCGCTGGGGAGAAGGTCTTCGACAGGAATGCGCAAGGATGTCTGGCACCGTTTACATCTAGCTGGGAGAGCACCGCACCCGAGGCATATTTTGAAGCATCGCATTCAATTTGGAAGGGTTTCGTCGGATCAGGCATCAAAAGTACTGGTTCTTCCGTGAACTTGGCCTTGAGCGTGTCGAAGGCGGTTTGCGCTGCTTCGGTCCATTCAAATTTTTGGTCCTTTTTCAGAAGTTCGTTTAGCACTCTCGCTATTTCTGAATAGGCTCGGATAAAGCGCCGGTAGAAGTTGCCGAAACCAAGAAATGATCGGACTTGTTTCAGGGTTTGCGGAACTGGCCATTCCGCGATTCCTTTCAATTTCGCAGGGTCCATGCTGATCCGGCCTTCTTCGATAATCACTCCGAGCCATTCTATTTTTGTCTGTTCGAATAGACACTTTTCGGGCTTTAGGAATAGGTCGTTGTCTCGGAGTCTTTGCAGGACTCGTTTAGTGTATCCCTTTAGTTTCTCTCTGCTGCTAGAGAAGAGGAAGATGTCGTCCATATAGATTATGATCCAGTGTTCGTCCAGAGTTTCGTCCGTCATATCCTTAAAAATGTCGTCCATCATCGCTTGGAAGGTTGCTGGTGAGTTGCGCATGCCGAAGAACATGACCATAGGTTCGAAAAGCCCTTTGTTGGTCTTGAAGGCAGCTTTCCATTGGTCTCCGTCTCTGATTCTGACGTTGTTGTACCCCCATCGGATGTCGAGCTTAGTGAAGTACTTGGCTCCTTTCAGTTTGTCCATTAGTTCGGGGATGAGGGGCAACGGGTAAGCGTTCGGGATCGTCCATTCGTTCAGGAAGCGATAGTCCTGGCAGGGTCTGAGATCACCATCCTTCTTGTTGGTATAGAAGAAGGGAGAGGCCATCGGGGATTTTGAGGGTCGAATGTATCCTTTGTCCAAGTTCTCCGTCAAGAATTCTCCAAGTTTCTTTTCTTCTGTCGGAGAAAGCGCGTAGGTTTTGAAGGACTTGGGTACAAATCCTTCTTTCATCTCGATCTTGTGATCCCATGGTCTTGACTCAGGGAATCGGGAGGCAGCTTTCTTGTCGAATAGATCCATGTATTCACGGTATTCTTGGGGAATCATTTCTTCCAAGGTCTTCTTCGGGGCGACTTCTTTCTCTGCGAAGGCAAAGGTTTGGGCTGCCGTGGTCTTGGCGTTGATCCAGGTTTCCTCTGCTTCTGAAGTGAGTTCTCCGTTGATATAAGATATCAACAGATCGGCCGTCGGGTCGATTTCTTCAGTCTCGACAGTCCTCTTCATTGTGGGAGTATACTCTTCACAAGTGGGGCTCCTGTCGGATCCTAGTGCCGGTTCTGTTTCGTTTTCCGTTTCCAGTTTCTGTACTCGAGCATCGTCCCAGTGATCTCGCCAAGCCAGGGTTCCTGATCGCCAGTCAATATCGGGGTTTAGATCTTCCAGCCAAGGATATCCTAAGATGATTGATTGTTTGCCGAGGCCGGTAATCAAGAATTTGGTCAGGGTGGTTCTTCCGTTCAGGGTCAGGTGCATTATGACGTAGTGAGTAATGGTCCCTTTCTTGTTGTAGGTCCCGTCCACGTTTTTTGCTTTGATCGGAGTGAGTAGTCGTCGGGGTCGTAGTTCGTGTTCCTTTGCAAAGTTTTGGTCCATAAAAGTTCCTGCTGCTCCGGAGTCCAGCAGGGCCGAGGTTTCAACGGTTTCTTCTCGCGTATTTTCACTCGAAAGAGAACAAGGTAAAAGCATAGTCTTATTCTCTATTTCGGCTACTAATACAGATTGAACGAGAACATAGGAGGCTACGCACGTTGTATCGTACCCCCTAATCAAAAATCCTTTCCTAAGTCATCCAAACAGTCAGTTCTTTCGGTTTCGTCCAGTTCTTCGATAAGTGCGCGGATGTGCGCGCCCGTTTCTCGTCCAGTCATTTTCTTTTTGGCTGGTGGGTTCGGGTTCTTCCAATTCGGGTTCGGGTTCGAGTTCGTTCTCCAGGGCTTGTTCGCGTTCGCGTTCGTGTTCGTTCTTCGTTTCGGGCAGTCTCGAGCCAGATGTCCAGTCTGCTCGCAGATAAAGCAAGCTCCTCGGCGGAGCAGGTCGTTTCGTTTCTCTACAGACATGGCATCGATGTCCATAGCATCTGGGTCTCGGGGCTTGTAGGAGAATGGTCTCCTTTCAGGTCGTTCGGGTTTCGGGGTGGAAGGTTGCCCTTCGTATCTCGCAGAAATCGTCCTAGAGATATTGGCGGCGGTGTCTCGCTTCTTGGCTGCATCATACCATCCTTGGAGAGTTGTGGGAGGTGTGTCGCTAGTCATGATTGCTTCTCTCAACTTCTTTCCGATTGATCTTCGGAACAGATCAATCAGGGCCAGTGGATCGGTAATGCCTGATTTCATGACGAGGATCTTGAAGTCGTTGATGTGCTCGCCCATCGTCTTCTTCCCCTGTCTGATGTCGTAGAGTTTTCCTAAGGCATTTCCTTGCGAGTCGGTAATGGCGTAGTCGACGTCAATCTGAGTTTTGAAGGCGTCCCAGGTTCCTAGATTTAAATGGGTTGGAACCGTAGCGGTGGCTGCTACCATATGAGAGTCATAGAATTGCTCTGCCCAGGCTGCAGCAGCTCCTTCGGTCATAAAGGAGAGAGCGAATCCTATTTTCTTCTCATCGGTGTCGTAGACAGCACTGTTGATCTTGAGGTAGAGGAGTACTGATTTCATCCATGGTGTATATTTTTCAATATCGCCATTGAAATTCTGGGGACGGTTCAGGTTTATTTCCTTCGCTGGTGCTGCCATTGGTACAGTGGTCTGTTGTCCTGGTGGTCCTGGCGGTGGAGGTGGAGGTGGAGGTGGACCTCTCGGGGGTTGTCGTCCCGGGGGAGGTGAGAGTTCCTCTGAAGAACTAGGAGGGTCAGGGGGAGGTGTAGAGCTTTCGCTAGTACCTTGAGGAAAGTCGTTTCGATCGTCGAAGATAGAAGGGAACTGAACGGGGGTCCTTTCTCCTGAAGAGGTCTGTGTAGGAGTGAGAGGGCGTTCTTGTTCTTCGAGGGTTTCGGAGAGTTGCCGGGAAGAGGTGCTAGGGGTGAACGGTTCGGGTGTGGGTTCTACTGGGATCTGTTCTCGAGTGGAGGATCGAGTGATTCGGGTTCTAGCCAAGGAAGATGCAGTTGGCCTGTTTAGAGAGCTCTTCGGAGGCGTTTCGTCTTTTCGGACTCCGGGGAGTCCTTAGTTCGGTTCGGGTTTCGTTTTGTTCGGTGGAGTGTCCCAAGTGCTGAATAGCAAGTGGAGGTTTTGAGGAGCTAGTTCTTTTGTTACGATGTTCAAGTAACAACGTTAAAGATAAGTGTTCTTATCTCTAAGTGATACCTTAATCGTATCTTCAAGCAACTGCTAAGTCAATCGTTCGTACTTAGAGGTTGGACTCGAACCAACTTAAGTATTCGTGAGTTTCGTTATAAGAAGACTTGGCTGTTGCCGTGTATTCTCAAGAACTAGCTAAAGAACAAGCATACGAACTACTGTGTTTTATACTAGTTAAAGATGCGAACGGACCAAGTGTCAAGGTAGCGGAAGCGTATCGAAGTGACTCCTCTAGAGTCAGAAAAGAATAGTACAGTAAGCCAAAAGGTATGCCGACGATGATCGTGTCGTTGGGCTAAATATAGTACATATTAAAAATAGAGTCGGAACCGGAAAGATGCTCGTATCAGAACGGAATTGTCCAGTACTGCTGGGCTACATCACAAGATAGACAAAAGGGATAAAGTAGAGAAAAATAGGGCGGCCGACGAACCGTAACAAGCGTGGACTCGAACGAACATTTGATCCAAAATACTATTACGGATGCCCAGAGCTCCAACGCATATTCCAAACTATGCTCGCAAAAACCCAATTCGAGGGTACACCTCGAGCGGTTGTGATCCAAGGGATGTGTAGAATGCTCATGATGTTCTACTGTACTTGTCGGCCATCCACCCTTGGTCCAACACACAAGAACTGGATGGGACTGCGCTATGTACGTTTATATTCATTTCTCACCTCTTCTCGCTCACAAAGTCAGTTTATAAAACTTGGCAACATCTGTGTGTTCCATGTCGGTGACATGGATTACAACAAGCTCCCCATTCTCTATATCAATAGTGTTTTTCCAAGCCGCGGTAATGTTGACCTCGGTTGCCTAAAAGTAGGGTTAAAAGTGCAATAAATCACACAAAAAAGCTTACCATGCATTGGTTGAGATTGAAGAATATTTGGGGACTGATGATGGACAGTTGCTTCAAGCATCCCATCAGATCACAACACAAAAGGGACAAAATATATCTGCCCCAGTGAGGATTGAACTCACGACCTTCCGATTTTAGCTTAGCCACAGACGGCTTAACAGTCGGACGCTGTAACCAGCTCAGCCATGGGGCATATTTTTATTGTTTGTATAAAGTCAACTAGATCACCTGCCGTTCGGCACGCAATCATAAGTCAAACATTATTTAATTGCAATTCTTCTACTACGCTACTTCTTCCTCATCAACCCACTCTGCTAGGAGAGGCGCCAGCATCGAGGGGTACAATGGAGGAGAGCTCTTAGAAAATGGACGGGTATGTACCCGGCTTTATATCTGGGGGCGCAACTCAGTGTTCGCTGCAGCCTGCATGAGGGAAGAATGCTAATCGAGGTCATGAGTTCGAGCCTTATTGGGTCGGGTGTCTTTTTGTTTCGCTTGGACTGGTTTACGAAGTGGCAGCAACACTCAGTACGTACTCATTATTGCACTTTTGTTTCTCCTTTTGTCGCACGCCCCAATATTGTCAACAACTCATAAACGAGACTTACCATGTGCATTGGTACATTTATTTTGAGAAGGAAACTGCAGACATTTTACTGATTCAAGCATCGCCCACAATCTGTGGCCTTTTAACGAACGGTGTGTCATTGACTGCTCATGTGGGCAACGAATCAGCGACGCCATTCTTTGAGAAATTTTACAATTATAACGCAATTCAGGCAAAAACGAATGGGCAAAATAACATAAGAGAAGGTGTGGTAGAAAAAGCCGGCGTTCCAGTTCCGATAAAAGATAAACAAAAGAACATGAACCTGAAAGCATGCAGGATCTCGGAACGGTCCACGAGATGCGTCAATGTCAGTTTGAAGTGTGAAGGGGGGATATTCGAGTGTCGAATTAGAAAAGACTGCCGCCATTGTTTCGTCCCGCAGAGAGTTCTTGAGCACGTCTGCGGCGAGCTTCCTCTGCATAAAAAATGAGCATCGGTACAGGCAAGACACGGGCGACGGAATAAATGCCCACTTCGGACAGTGCTCGTATCCTCTCCAGCGTCAAGCCGACGTCGATTCTCTCGCAGAATTTCACTGACGCGGTCGCTGGCAGCTCTGAGTAGTTCAAGATTGTCGTCCTTACTAGACATGAGCCTCGGGCTGATGGGAGTTATGAACATGGCTTTGTTCAAGTTCGGTGACGAAATATCCTGAGTGATCGTCAGCCTTCCGGGTTATGTTACACCCAAAGAAATGCCATGGACACCGAACACTTGGGCGACTTACAGAATAAATCGAGAAGTCAACATCACTGGTCGAAGCATCGACTGCCGTCATGCTGCTTTCTCTGGCATAGGGTGTGAGCAGCATCATTTGAGGAACTTCAATCGAGGGTCTTGGGATCTGGCTGAGGGCAGGGACGTCGTCGAGGGAAATCGCTTGCTTCAAACCCGAGCCAAGTAAGCACTGAAGATCGACATATTTTTCCATAGCCAGCGCGGAGTCTAAGAGGACCATAGTTGAGTCAGCCCCCCTTATGAGTTTCCGTTTCCTCCAATCAACGAACGCACCTCTAACGGTACGCTTGATGAGGGTAGGAATATGTTTCGTGTTAGCGCCAACGCGGACCATGAAATCGTCCTTGTTGTTCCAGTTGGGCGGCGGCACTCTCGGAAGGCAGGCGTTGAGAACCACAGAGCATAAAAATCGGGCAGTTGAGGTCGCGCCAAATCCTATGAGGTCGAGTAAGAGCGCCATAGATGTTGACCTTCGGGCCAAACACGCCAGTCCGTGGAATGGTTCGTGGAATGACTGTTGGTGGGATGTCACAGTCGAGCTCGGGTGCGTCCAGGTAAAAGTTGGATACTATAATAGGAGGGTTAAAAATTTGCCAGCACAAGTGGCTGGCATCGCAAGGTGGTCTCAGAGTGGAATATGTTAATAGCCTAATACTGGTCAGGACTCAGCCGCAGACGATTCCAAGCCCTATGCAGGTGGCCATGTATCAGGTATTAGCAGGTCCAGTATACGTATTTCGATCCACTGAGATGACCCTCGCTCGGGTCTTTCAAGTATTGAAAGTTGAATTTAAGTTGAAAGTGCGGCAAGGGCATTCCCAGGACTCCCGAAAAGAATGTCGTTTCTGCAATCAACTTGAGAAACGATGAAAACTGACGAGGCGTTGTCGTTTGAGAACATGTTTTGAGTTGGCTTTGAAATCCTTCCTAGATTGAAATTGTCCAGCTGTTTATCCAGGTTTTGGCTAATATGCAGCAGCGTCTTGAATAGTTGGATGATGTGTGAGGCCCAGTGAAAACAGCCTGATGGCAAATAGAACCACACATATATATTAATAGATTTTAGAACGTCATCGAATCCGATCACGCCATTTCGATTTTCAACTTGCCTCTCCTTCACGCAATCTAACCACGTCCATCCCTACCATGTCTGCACATCAGTTCTTCTGTAACTGTGCACAGCTCTGTATGCGCAACGGTGCAACACAACCTGTTGCTTTTAGCCGGTCCACTTGGTAGTATGGCCACGCTTGATTTCGAGAGTCAACTCAGCCGCCTCCACTCGAACCGTTTCTGGCACAACAAGACACTTTGCCGAATAGATCTTCCACAGACCAAGTGCAAAAATCACCACCTGGATCACGGGCGTCGTCTCGAAGCCCACCCAACAAGAGGCGACGCATAAGGGACTCTGAAGGTATGATAAGTGCTCCTTTGCCGGACAACTTTGACAACTATTGTGTCCTTTTTCAAAAGATGGCGATGACGTTAGTGGCGGAGGCGGTGGTCTCGGTTCAACTGAACAACCAGTACCAGAGAACGTGAGGGATAACGAGCATGGGAATGAAAGTGACACAGACTCGGATATATATGTTCGCGTTCGTATAGATATTATGTATCTACAATATCAATGCAAAATGTGAAAGAAAAATAGTCTCGCCCAGCAACCCCAACCGTGGCTTTATTATATCTATGGGTCAAAAGTACTATTCATGTAGCAGCCAAAATGTACTTAGAGTTGGCGTAGACTTTGCGTGTCAGTAAGTCACACAAATCACTCTGTCACAGAGCCATTTCTCCCGTTGACGTGTTTGCGCTCCCTTGCTTTCTACCACCAACATCTCCTCGTTATCTCTACAAAATATGCCATCCTCTCCCGCTGCTCATAGCACCCAAGCTCTCCCCACAAGCCGCCTAACGCGGAGTATGTCAAGCATTATGCAAATCTCCGACACCGAGCAGTCCCAGTCGCCACATCCGGCGGTATCTCGCAGTCGCAAAGAAAAGAAGCGGCCACTCTCAAAAAGCTCTCGTGAAAGGGAATATGGTCCTCGAAAGGTAATGTTCTGCTATTTTCACTTCTGTGATGGAGAATAGGCCAAATAACTGAATATATGCGCTCGGAACATAGGGATATATATCCAGATATGATAGCCTAGATGCTCATGAGGAGTGCACACGCAAGTTCAATCGAGTTAAGCGCAAGTTTGATGCCCTCAGTGACGAGCACTCGAAACTCTGGTGTCTCCACAAGCCCTTCCAACACGGCCGGCGGGTCTTTGTCTTCTTTGGCTGCCACTTGCTCATCGCCTCCACTCACGACCACTCCCATCAGTGCATCTCTCAAACCATCAGTGGAGATCGAAACTATTGGTAGGTTACTGTTTGTTCTGACAATCATTTGCGATCTGACTTGTCCATTTAGATGCCGCTCAGGCTGCCACTACTCCCGTTTTGTCGCAAGTACCACAAGGCATGACGGACGCCGCACCCACGGCAAATGCTGTACTTGCTAACACTGCACCCACCATAAACGCTGTACCCGCAGATGCCGCACCCACCATGAATGCTGCAGTTGCAGACACCGCACCTGCTGTGACCACTGCGCCTGTGGACACCACACCCGCGGACATTGTTATGGCTGAAACAAGAGGCTCGAAAACTCGTCACCGAGTTAATCCGCTGTAAGTTTACTTTCTCCAACCCCATTGTCATGAATTCGCACTAACCTCGTCATACATTGATAGAGTGAAGGCCTTGGGAGTGCCAGTAGGACCCACCAAGAGTTCTGACAGCTCATCGCAACCTCAAGTCAAGCTCGTTAATCAGCGATTGCCCCGAAGGCGTGGGAAGGATGTTACTGGGATTGCCGCCGAGCCAGCAAAAAAATGGTATGTCTCCTTTTGACACGAATCACACACCTCTAAGACGCAAACATCCATAGATGGCTCGGCGGCGGCGGCTGGTAATGCTAGTGGCAATGTAGCTTCGACCTCAACATCAGCCTCTGCGGGATTCAAGAAACCGACGCAAAGTAATGCCCCCAAGTGAGTCTGTCGTTTCCTCCAACAATGCCCTGCTTAGTTTCACTCTACAGAAATCCGGCGGCGCCCATTCTCCTCTCTTTAAGTGCCGCTCATTTAACCTCGGCTTCTGTATTGTCTCCGACTCTCTGTGCGACGTCGTATACTGTCACCTCTCGAAAACTCGACTGCTCCTTACTTGCTGCGCTTTCTCATTTCGTATCTCAGTCATATTGGTATTGTTGCTGTGGTAAGTTATTTCTTGGCCATTATCAAACCGCAGACTCGGGGACTTACAAAATCATAGCTTATCTAGATTTTACTGACTCCAGCACTCGAATCCGCTCGCCTGCACTTGTCTTTGCTCGATTCCGCTCGCCTTCACCTGATTCCATTCGCCTATGATCGACTCAGCTTATCTGTGCTCGATTTGGCTCGCCTTCGCTCGATCCTACCTGCCTTTGGTCGCCTCTGCTCGTATTTGCTCGCCCTCAAACGTTTCTGATTGTATTTGCTCGCCTTCACTCGATTTCCCTCGATTCTGCTTGACTTTGGCTTTGTGCGCGATTCCTCAGTGGCCAGATTCTACGTTGTTCGATTTGGCTTGATTACATCGCCCCCGGATTTCTGTCTGGTTTGATCTGGTTATTCGATGGGTGGTGTAGATGAGAATTGCTCGGCATGGATCTGGTTATATTAGATTATAGGCCCTGTATTTTATTTCGTTCAATATAGTTCGATTTGCATCGATTTCCGGCTTTGCCACATAGATTAAAGTCCAAATCGCTAAGTCAAATAAATAAGTTATATTTGCTTATGTGT